TGTCTGTCTGCCCAAGGTATTAAATAATTCTTCGGATAAATTCCTTAGTCCCCAGTGATCCATCTTGTGTCCTCTTGAACCACCTGCCCCATCCCAAATCTAACACCACCCCCTGGAAGTCCTGCCCTCTCATGCTCCCCCACCCCAGGTTCTGTTTTCTTGGTTCCATTCTCCCTGGGTTCCTGATTCCTTGGGTTCTGTCCTTCCTGATTCTACCTTCCCTGAGTTCCACCCTTGATGATTCCTGCTCTTCTGGGTTCTGCCTTCTCATGTGTCACCCTCAATGGGTCTACCCTCCCCAGAGAGCCCCTTTCTGTCCTGTTGCACTCTGAGATGGTTTTGGACCCGGTTGCCCCACGCACTACCCATGTGACCCCCACCTCCAGACCTTGCATCTGCTGTCACTTGTGTGCACTTGTCTTTGTTTGGGTTTTTATTATTGTGAAGAGACACCATGACCATGGCATGTCTTACCAAAAAAAAAAAACAAAAAAAAAAAAACCAAGACCAAAAAACCAAAACAAACAAACAAAAAACCCCAAAAAACAAAATCAAAAACAAAAACAAAAACAAAAAAACAAACTATTTAATTGGGGTGCTCACTTACAGTTTCAGAGGTTCTATCCATTATCATCATGGTCGGGAGCATGGTGGCATGCAGGCAGACATGGTGCTGGAGGAACAGCTGAGAGTCTGACATCTTGCAGGCAACAGGAAGTCAACTGACTGTCACACTGAGGAAGCTTGAGCAAAAGAGACTGACTTCAAAGCCCACCCCCACAGTGACACACTTCCTCTAATAAGACCACAACTCCCAATAGTGCCACTTTTTTTGGGGGACATTTCTTTCAGACCACAACACTGCTCTCTCTTTCTCTGCTCTACAGGGAGCCCTTGAGGCCAGGGCATCTGCCTCAGTCTCTTGGGATGAGTTGTGGAGAGGAACAGAGCAGGTGCCCAGGCACAAATAGAGTCAGTGACCAACACCCTGTGGTTTTGTTTATTTTGTGCCCTGTGGAGTTTGCTGTTTTGTTTTGGAGGAGCTGGAATGAACTGAAGCCATTGTATACTCTACCAATATGTACTCCACCCCTGTGCCACATCCCCAACCTAGGCTGATTGCCCTCCAAGAACAACTGGGTGTGTTCAACACTTAGCTGTGAGCTATATGCATCCCAGGATAGACTGAATGGGGCCCAACACAGAATCAAAAGCTTACTTAAAACAGTGTGAGATACTCTTGTGGGGTTTTTGTAACTTGATTATGTAGTCTTGAATATGAATTCTGTAGATGTAACATCAAAAACCTGGATGCTGGATACGGCTGTTGGTGCCTACACACGGGGAATTATAGACCCATAGATAACTGGATGAATGTGTCCCCATGTGCCGGGCAGAACCTATACCTTACCCCTAAGCTTTCTTGCATTTTTCCATTGCATCCTTTCCTAAAGTGGAGACTGAGGGTCCATGGACTCCTAAAATTTAACTTTAAGAGGCAAGGATGGATCCTCATTTGATAAACCAACCCAGATTGAGATGACTCCATCCCCTTCCCTCTATACTTTCACCGACACATTTATCCACATCTATCCCTGTGTCCTGTCCTGAGTGAACCATCCTACACACACACACACACACACACACACACACACACACACACACACACACACACACAGAGACAGAGACACACACAGAGAGACAGAGAGACACAGAGACACAGAGAGAGATCTTACTGAGCCTGTAGGTGTACTCCCCAACAGTCCCCTTTGGGAAGGAGCCCACAGGGCCCTGGCCTGCCACCACCAGTCACTGCCATCTCTATTCCAGGCATGTGGGGCTCCTTTAGCTCTTGGAATCCTCCAAAGACCCTCCAGTGATTTTAGCTCAAAGGAAGCCTTTGATGTCCTAGATGACAAAGCCAGGCATCATCGAGGCCGCTGTGCGGTAAGGACGGCTCCCGGCAGACAGCACAGGAGGGGCAGCTGCCTGGCTGTCAGCACTCCTGGCCCTCTGAAGTAGTTTGTCTCAGCTCCATGTGGACGTCTTTGTTGTCATAGCTGCTGTTTCCTGGTGTCTCTAGGTTTTCCTTGGGGATGTGCCGATCCCCAGGCCAGCTCAACCCTGTTCAGATGTGACAAGGAGGAAGAACAGACTCCAGGTTGGCTTGGGAATATAAAAGCCCTACTTTGTCCACAGATGCCCTGGGCTCCCATATCCCAGGAAAAGCCCTCTGCCTGACCCAGGAGGCTAGTCCTCTGATCTCTGGAGACTGAGGTGGAGAGCTTTGCATATGGGGCCTTTGCATGTTCTGGTTCTAAAGTCACCTCTACTCTTCCAGAGATGAATATCTTTGGCTACACTCAGTCTTGTTATCTGTAAAATGGGGATGATGATGATGATGATGATGATGATGGTGATGGTGATTACTATGATGATGACAATGCCCACCTACAAGGTTGCTGTGAAAGATGGATAGAGCAGCATAATTCTGGCCCAGCCCCAGGCACAAAGAGGATCCCAATAAGGAGCAATACCCACCTCCTTCCTGTTCCATCTTTTTCATAACTTAGGGCCTCTCCATCTGCTCCGGTTTTCATTCTGTTGCTGTGATAAAGCACTCTGACCGAAATCAACTTAGGGAGGAAGGGATTATTCCATCTTATGCTTCCAGGCCAGCGTACACCATTGAGGGAAGTCAGGGCAGGAACTCAATGGAGGAACCTGGAGGCAGGAACTGAAGCAGAGGCCGTGGAGGAGTGCTGCCTACTGGCTTGTTTCTCATGGCTTGCTCAGCCTGTTTTCACATACAACCCAGCACTACCTGCCCAGGGATAGTAGTGCCCACAGTGAGCTGGGTCCTTCCACATCCACCAGTAATTTAAAAAAAAAATATCTACCTCCAGGTCTATGGAGACATTTTCTCAATTGAGAGTCGCTTTTTTTTTTTTTTTTTTTTTTTGATTTTTCGAGACAGGGTTTCTCTGTGTAGCTTTGCGCCTTTTCCTGGAACTCACTTGGTAGCCTAGGCTGGCCTCGAACTCACAGAGATCCGCCTGGCTCTGCCTCCCGAGTGCTGGGATTAAAGGCATGCGCAACCACCGCCCGGTGAGAGTCGCTTTTTTAATGACTCTAGCTTGTGTCAAGTTCACTCAAAACTAACCGACATACTTGGGGATCACTGGCTAGCCAGCGCAGCCTGCTTGGTGAGCCCCAGGCCAGTGACAGACCGTGTGTCAATAACAAGAAAAGGTGGCAGCCCCTGAAGTTATGCTCAGTTATGGGTTAAGTTACAAGAGATCGCTGGCAAGAAGCCTGCCATAGGCCATACAGGTTACTTTCAACCCATCATAGCAACATACATTCACAGCGTACAGAACGACATCCCACAGCACCGCCCCCTGCTGGAGGGCCATGGACTCGGACATCACCTGGAGCGCTCAGCTTCTCTTTCTCTCCCCTTTCTCCACACATACTTGCTCACTGTAGGGGTGCCTGGCGGCCTGCACCCACCCATGATGTGCTGTGGCAGGCTGGCCTCTGCCCACACAGACTTTCTAATGGCCACTTACAGCAAAAGGAAGTGGTACAATTAATTTCAATAATATACATCCAACGAGGTGTCTTGGCATGTGATCACTGTGTAATAACTTGATGCTATATTTTGTCTTCTGCTTCTGTGCAACGTCTCCAGATGCCGGTGTGTGTGTTATAGCTTTAACACATACCAGTTTTAAGGGCACCCTCTGAGGGTCTGGGCTGTGCAAGAAGCATGTGTGGAACTCCTGCTTTCCATGGTGGCCCTTTTATCAGCTCACCTGTCAGTGACTGCTTTGAATAATGCAAGAGGTCCTCTTCTTAGGACAGTGGCTGTCAACTTTCCTAATGCTGCGACCCTTTAATACAGTTCCTTATGTTGTGGTGACGCCCAATCATAAAATCATTTTTGTTGCTACTTCAGAAATGTAATTTTGCTACTGTTACGAATCATAATGTAGACATCTGATATGCAGGATATCTGACATGTAACCCCTGTGAAAGGGTCGTTTGACCCCCCCAAAGGAGTTGTGACCCACAGGTTGAGAACAGCTGTCTTAGGACCTTCCCACCACCATCCGGTCCTCCTGCTGAAACATTTATGTGCCATCACCCCGAGAAATGTGGCAGTCACATCACTGGATAAGTGGGGCAAATGTGTCCATGGGAAAGGCGTGTGCCCGTCATCTGATGCTGGCACCTGGCTGTGCCCAGATAGAGTCATAACGAGTCACCAGAGGGCCAGGAGCAAGGGGGACAGGCGGGAGATGAACAGTGATGAGAGAGCCTGTGGTGAAAGGCCAGGAGCACAGAGCCATCTGGGCTGAGGGAGGAAGACAGTAGTGAGGGCGGCAAGACCGTCAGGGGTCCAGGAGGCTATGGGGACTGGCTCCAGGGCCAGGGCAGGGAAAGGAGGTCTCAGAGTAGGAGAAAGGATGGGCTAGAAAGCCACCCCCTCGTAAAGGTGGGCCCCTCCCGAGGTTTGTATAGGGTGTGGAGAGGTGAGAGAGCTTCCCACGGGATGTGTCTTTTGGAATCTAGAAAATGAGCAAGGTAGGGTTCTGCTCCCGTCACATTTCTGTTGGGTAGGTTATGAGTCTCTTATAAAAGTCCAGCACACGGAGCAGTATTTATGCTCTCCTGGCCTTGGAAATGGGAGGTGGGGCAGGCAGGCTGGTCTGTGGACATCACCTCTGACCTGGTTTCTGTAAATGGTGAGACCTCACTGGGAGGTATACTACTGGGACCATGAAGGAGTCAACTCCTTTGTATACCTCACTTTGGGGTAAACTGGGACCATCTTTTCAGCCTGAACTCTTCTTACAAGCCCCTGTTCTTGCCTGCCCCAGATCCTCCCAGCTCTGTGGAGCTTATTTCCCCAATCTCTCTCGACCCTTGACTCCACTCTTTCAGTCTCTACGGTCTTTAGCTTGTCCTCCTTTCCTCCATTCCTCTCCCTCCCTTTCCCGTACTGGGAATTGAACCCAGGGCCTTTTGCATACTAGGCAAGCATTCTGCCACTGAGCTACACTCCCAGGATTCCTCCTTTTGGTTTGGTTTCTGAAACAGGAGCCTCCAACTTGCCATGTCATCAAGGATGACGTCCAACTTTTGACCCCCCTGTTCCTGAGTGCTGAGCTTACAGGTGTGAACCACCACTCCTGATTTGTGTAGTGCTGGGATGGGACCCAGGGCTTTTTGCATCTAGGCGAGTGCTCCCCCAACTTCCCCGCCCCTCCAGCCCCTCAGCACTCTTAACTTTTTATCTTGAGACTCAATTTCCCTGCCTGTTCTTGAATCCAGGAACTGTTCTCTGTAGCCCAGAATGGCCTTGATTTTTACATTTTTCTTGCCTCAGCCTCCTAAGCCCCTAGGATTGCAGACCTGGGCCACCCTTCCCAACTTTCTCTCTGCTTTAGTGCTTATCTCTGTGTCCCAGCTTTGGATTAAATCACTCTCTCCTCAGCCTTTGGGACTTCGTGGTCCATTGGTGTGGCTGTCAGCTCCTCTGACTTTCCCCGGACTGCCAGTGGGTAAGAAAATTGGTTCTGGGTCTCCTCTCTGATTGTCTTCGCGAGAGTGACAGTGTCAGGGAGAGTGATCTATGGCAGGCCTAGGAAAAAGATTCAAATCTAGAGACCGCTGGCCTGGGACAGCCATTCTTTCCAGCCATCTGACGCATGCTCGCTGAGCACCAAACCCGGACCTACCGCACAGCATCCCAGATGACTGGTTACGCCTCCGTGGATGGGTTTTGGCTAATGGGCTAATGAATCAGGATCGTCCGAATGCTTCCTCCAGCACTGGTGCCCAAATGCCAGGCAGTTCTGTTCATGGACTCTGCGGGTAATGATCCCTTCCGAAAATCATAATCCATCAATCTCACCTCTCCACACCATCCATCAATGTTCTGGAATCTGCGGCTGTGTTCCCGTTCCAGGAGTTTTCAATCACTTTTCTTTTCCCCTGTGATGGCAGAACAGTGCGCTGACACTGGGAAATTGTGTTTTGACATGAAATCATTATGTGTTTTAAAACCTCTCCTTCAACATTGGGCTTTTCCTGCCTCCTGCTCTGCCCTGGCTCATCCCTACTGTGAATGTGGTGGGAGCCCTGTTCCTTTGTTGAGCCCCGGGACACAGGGAAGGGATGCCTCCTGCCTATTTTACTGCACCACTACCACACTCTAACTAATTTGTCTCCTCCAATCAGGGACCTGCTAGTCTATTTCCTCCAGCCTGTTAAGAGATTGGAGGGAGGGGGAGAGAGGAGGCATGAGGTTCCTGAACATCCAAGTCACATCTTCAAGTAGGTATGACTTTAACTGAGGGGGAACAGCAGTCAAGTGACCAGTGCGTGGAGGAACATGGGGTGGGGTGGGGGATGAGCTGCTTGAGTGCACTGATGCTTTCCTGAAGCCCCTGCACCACCAGGGAGGGCGGATCTGGAGGAGGATGCCTGCTGCCCGCCATGTCCCAGCTCCACCGTGGTGGTGCTAATAACTTTTTCTTTTCTTTTCTTTTCTCTTCTCTTCTTTTCTTTTTGGTTTTTCGAGACAGGGTTTCTCTGTGTAGCTTTGTGCCTTTCCTGGAACTCATTCTGTAGCCCAGGCTGGCCTCGAACTCACAGAGATCCTCCTGGCTCTGCCTCCTGAGTGCTGGGATTAAAGGTTTTTTTGAGGTATATTCCACCGTGGCACTTGTCTAACTTCTAGGAAATCATGAATTCAATCCCCAGTGCCACATAAGGCTGGATGTGGTGGTGCACACCTGTAATCCAAGCACCAGAGAGGCAGAGGCAGGAGGATCAGAAGGTCAAGGTCATCTTCAACTATACAGTGAGTTTGAGGCCAGCCTGGGCTTCATGGGATTCTATTTCAAAAATGCAAATAACAAAGATTCTGGAGTTTATATATATATGTACGTGTGTGTGTGTGTGTGTGTGTGTGTGTGTGTGTGTGTGTGTGTACAACATGTGTGTGTGGTGTATGCACATGTGTGTGTAAGGGAATGTGCACAGGCAGAGACCAGAGAAGGACACTGGGCACCTTGCTCAGTCACTCTCTACCCTCTCTCCTTGAGACAGGGCTCCTCACTGAACCTGGAGCAGGACTGGCAGAAAGCGAGCCACGGTGATTCCCCTGTCTCCGACTTCCCGCAGGACAGGGGTTACGGTCGTGTGTGAAGTTGCACCCAGCTTTTTACAAAGGTGCTGGTAATTCCTGCTCCTGTCCTCAAGCAGCACTCTTACCTGTGGAACCATTTCCTCAGCCCCTCAGTCAGAGACATGAACTTTTCATCCAGTGATGCCTTAAATGCATTCCAGTTACTGACCTGGTGTCAGTCAAGGAGTGGGGCTTAGAGAAAGGTGAACAGAGCTGGGCTTCTGGGAAAGGACTGTGTGTCAATTCAGTATCTTTCTCAATGTGTTTGTTTCCATGGGAAATATTCTAAGTAATTGTTATATTATTATTATTATTATTATTGTTGTTGTTGTTGTTGTTGTTATTATTTGGTTTTTTGAGACAGAGTTTCTCTGTGTAGTTTTGTGCCTTTCCTGGAACTCACTCTGTAGACCAGGCTGGCCTCGAACTCACTGAGATCCTCCTGCCTCTGCCTCCCAAGTGCTGGGATTAAAGGAATGCGCCACAACTGCCCGGCCTAAGTAATTCTAAATATCTGTGCTCTGCCAAATCTAGGCCTTTATGCTCCCAAGTGTGCGATTGGACTGTATTTGGAGTCCTTCCTCTCCTTCTACCTTTATGTGGGTACACTGGGATTGTACAGCAAGCCCCTTTACCCACTGAACCATCTTGTCACCCTACTTGGCTGTATTTGGGAAATTCAGCACCATATCACAGTGTCCTACCGTTTGGTGAGGAAAGTGAGCCCTGGTCTCTCACTAGTGGCATCTTTTGGAGCAAATTACTAAACTTTTTGAGCCTCAGCTTTCTAATCTGGGAAAAGGAACCATCAAACTATTTCTACAGCGTTTGATGTGAGAAGTAAAGATGGCAGATGTTCTCCTGGGGTCTACAGATGTGCATCAGTGATAGTCCTGGCAATCATTACAGAGAAATGATTCTTGCTGAGGAGCACTGAGTTGTAGAAGTCTTCAGAGGTGCTCGGTTTAAAGCAGAATAGATGCCGTTGAGTTAGTTTCTGCCAAACAACAATAGCTTACACCATAGGTGATGGATGTTGTGAGCAGACTCCCAGTGTTCCCATCCAGCTGGAGGGATGATGTCTCCCCATGTTAAATTGCCTTCTCTTTCTTTCCTTCCTAGAATAAATGGACCCTTGGCCAATGGTCAGACTGAAAGTCAAATTACTGTGATTTCCAGTTCAAGTTCCTTTGGGGGATGGTGGCTGCTTTCTCCTTTTCTTCTGGGCTTGGAGGTGCCCTGGTTGCCCCTCTGTGCAGTGAGAGGCTGATGCCATACCCAGACAGACTCCCGATGCTCTCCTTCCAGAGACCCTCTTGGCTTCAGGCAATGTCTTCTTCCAGGGTTTTAACTTGTTTCTACATTTGACTGAGAGTCTCAGCTCAGCTCTGTTCTCCCATAAAACCTATCTATCTTAATCTTAAAAAAAAAAAAAAGACTGTACATGAGTGTGTGTGTGTGTGTGTGTGTGTGTGTGTGTGTGTGTACATGTGTACACAGGTAGCCATGAAGACCTGAAGAGGGTGTCAGATCCCCTGAAGCTGGAGTTACAAGCAGTTGTGAGCTGTCCAACACAAGTGCTGGGACCTGAACTCAGATCTTCTGTAAGAGTAAAATAAATACTCTTAACCACTGAGCCATCTCTCCAGCATCCCAAATCCATGACTTAAATATATATGTATATATATAATTTAAATTTTATTTCATTTTTTTACTTTTATGCATGTTCTCTTTGCATGTGAATCACATGAGTGGCTGGTGCCCAACGAGGGCATCAGATCCCCTGGAACTGAAGTTCTGAATGGTTGTGATCCACCACGTGAGTGTAGGGGAACTGAACTTGGGTCCTCTGTGAGAGCAGCCTGTGTTAATTACTGCTGAGCCATCCCCCCAGCTCTCTCATCCATGTCCAGATTGGGTCCACCCTGATGACCTCGTCAAGTTAGGATACATAAGGAACAGAGAAGTACTCTCTGCCTTCCTTACCTCTTTCAGAGTGATGGCCCCTCGGCTTTCCCAAGTCTTCGGGTGTCAGTACCATTCTTCCCCCACCCTGAGGAGGTCACTTCTCCTTTTGCAGGGGAAACCTGCGGAACTGTTCCTCTCCTGGCCCTCCTCTGTGATGGGCAGTGAGATCCAACCATCACAGGCGCCCCCATGGTGCTGGCCATGGTGCTGAATCAAGGATGGGCTTCCAAAGCCGTCTCGAGAATCCAGGCAGGTGGTGGGCGAAGCTGGCACCACAGGTATCTCCTCTTCTGGGCAGCAACGGTAGGACTCGAGTTTCCTGCCCCAGTGCTGGGGGTGCTGAGTCTTCCGGTCAGCCCAGAGACATGCTGAGGATCCAGTGTTGAGTTGGTGAGAAGCTTGGACTTAGAAACTGGTTGTGGGATGGCCTGTGAGGGGAGACGAAACAACCCTGTATGTAGGGGTCTGTTCTTCTGGGGCAGAATGGTTGTTGAGCTCCTTGTGGAAAGGTCCCACCTGAGGGCGAATGACAGGCGAATGACAGGGAGTTCAGTCAGGAAGTCTGTCTGTGATGGGGGTGCTCAGGAAGGGGGTGCGGCTGGAGAGTTCACAGGATCCCTCATGGAAGCCTTCCTCTCCATGGCACTCTTTTAATTCACTGGGCCCTGGTTCCACAATTTCCGCAGTCTGACTTCATCATGGCACCTCCTTTAGGTGGGCACTCGCTGGGGAGCAGACTATGTCTCTTGAAGGGGAAGGATTTGTCCAAGATCACATGCCTTGAAAAGGAGCAGCTAGAACTGCTTGGCTGTTTACAAAGCATGTCCCCTCACCCCACTTTTCACAGTCTCTCTATGCCACAGGGGAAGAAGTGAGTGAGAGTAATGGAGGCAGAGGCCCCATGTTG